AAAAAAAGTAAACACTATGAAAAAAAAACACTATGAAAAAAAAAACACTATGAAAAAAAAAACACTATGAAAAAAAACACTATGAAAAAACACTATTAAAAAAAATCAGAGTAAACAAGAACTGATCCAAACAAAGGCGCCTGTACCCCATCAAATCTCATCTGCTACGACAACAAAGGGTGGTGGCACAGTTCATTAGACATACGTACGCGATTAAGACCTACGTTCGCTATCAACAGATTTCTCACAAGAAAACATGTTTCAGTCTGGCGGGTGTGACGCAGAATTCTTATTTCGCGCCTGGAAACAATTCCTGTCCACAAATTATAGCGAAAAAAGCGTATGCAAAATTTTGTTAAAAACAAATGCGGATCATACCCAAGAGCGTTAAAGGAAAACAAAAGAGAAGGTTTGTTTAAGATATTCATATTTCAAACTTGAGTTAACTCGCATTTCACATGATTCTCCTTGCCAACTTTGTAGCAACCAACAGCAAAGAAGAAATGAGAAACAGAAAAACGTAGCTTCTGATCTCTAAAAAAAAAAAAAAGAAAAAAGATAAAAAAGCTGATAATTTATAACTTAGTTGTTAGACTTAACTCATGGTAACCACGTCTACGTAAGGCGTAATTTTAACATTTTTTTTCTGTAATGAACCACTAAGACATAAACAGCCCACATTAAATAAAATATCATTCACGACGTTGCGGCCGTTGTACACTCCGACCTTCTTCTTGGAATTTCGAACCGAAACCTTTATTTATAAGACATTTATTTCTCACACAAGTTCATGTCAACCATTTATTTGCACACACACACACACACACACACACACACACACACACACATATATATATATATATATATATATATATATATATATATATATATATATATATATATATATCCAGGAGTGGTTAGAACGTTCGCTTCCTTACCATGAGACCCGGGTTCGAATCACACTACGGTTGATTTATCAGGAAAGAGACATCCTGATGTTATCGGTCTTGAGGTGGGGGGGGGCGATCCCAGCGTGCAGAGTGCTTGAAAACCATACCACGGGTTGATCCAAGCCTTGTCAGGGAAATTGCTTAGACGGAGCACTTGGGAGCCGTCGATAGCTGTGCTAGCACGAAATCATAGGTCATCGTGACCGAGGGTTTGAGTGTGCTGGCCTTGTTCACATTGTTGATCACGCTAGATAAGACGCTCTCTCCCAGAAATTGTAACTAAGGTCTGCTCAGCATAGTTGCAGTATAAACCACAAGTGGGCTCTGTGGGTGTTTATCAAACATGAATGTGCCTGAGCAGGCGTCTCCAATGGGGATTAGCTAGCTGCCCTAGAAGACTGGCATCCTCGGATTCGAGTGGCAGCACTATTTTTTTTAATGCGAGTGAAAGATTGAAAGAAAGATTTCCCCATCAAGCTGTATATGATGTATCCTTAGTGTACTCTTGAAATCCTGTCATCTGTAACGCAGCATTGTAGCAATCTTGCACAATCTCTCTCACAATATTTATGTCTGTATGAGCATTGCTTTTCATTTTGGTGTGTAATTATCTTTTTAATAAGAGGTTTCCTGTTAATATAGTAAATAAAATGATAGTTACAATATTTGAACGGGTTTCCTCGAATACAAGTGTCCAGCTATTATTATTATATATCCAGGTAAAATGAGACTGCAATTGTGTAAAGCGATTTTGACATGTAATATCCTAAAATAAAGTATATATATATATATATATATATATATATATATATATTAATAGAAGACAGACCACGTTAAGATTCCATGTAATAAGCTATTTCACCATAACCCCTTTAACAGGGTTCTGGATCATCAGACTTTACTTCCAAAAGCTGAAATGAAAAATGAAAAGAAATTCACACGTTTTTGACGGACCTCATCAAGTATACGTAAAATTAACGAAGTGAGGGAGTGAGGTGGGAGGAGGATATGAGTATGTCATATTTATCATTTCAGTTTCCTATTTTTAACCCCAGTGTGTCGGATAGATGTTGCTCAAATTTAACGCGTCTCGTCTCTAGATATAAATGGCTAAGGGGTGAATGATAAGAACGACATTAAAGGAAGAAGTTACAACAACCCCAATCAATTACACGACAGGTTTCATTCAAATTCTTAGACGCTGTTAATTCGCGTTACTTTAACGTGCATATTTGGGAGGTTAAGGTTTGATAAATATCTAAATGTTAAAACAATCTACGAAGAAATTAATTTGAAATTCGGTGGAGTTTTGGGTATTTTTGCGAAAGTCGAAAGTACTTGAAGCAAAATAGCAAAAAATATATATTTGGATATTTATATATATATATATATATATATATAAATTATAAATAATAAAAAAAAGACCAGAACTTAAACCGATCAAGTTCTGTATTTTTTATATATTTTTATATAATATATATATAATATGTTATAAATTGAAAAAAGTTGTGATAAACTGTCCAAAGTTTATATTTTGCTATTTTGCTTCAAGTATTTCTGACTTTCACAGTCATTATCAAGAAGCGTTGTGGTGACTGTGTGGTACTTAGAAATCGTTTGTCTGCATCTTGGTATTCTATGCGAAGCTAGACGTTTGAAGTTATCAAGCGTGAAGTCATTTTTTTTTAAGCTTTTCACCCCAAGCAAGGCGGGAAGCCACTGGGACGCATGGGGTTACAGAAGATTTGGAGCAAGATCAGATAGGAGTGATAGAGGAAAGGATGAGGAGAAGGATAGTAAATAGATCGAGGCCACTGGAGATGTCGATTGACATTACATTTGAATAGTTGGAGATTATAGCACTCAGGGAAACTGGAATAGAGAAGGGATTTCCACAGGCGAGAGGTGCGTACGAACATGGAATTGTTTTCTCCGTTTCTTTCTCCTGTTGTTCTTAATTTTATTGAAAGCATGTCTCCCAAGCCCACTATTTGGCAATGGCGGAGGATTGTGTAAAGGCTTTTGGAAACGCGGCCGCACAAAATAGAATGCATTTTATTTATGTATTTATTTTATTTTTACTTTTTATTTTTTATTATGATACTGATAAAATATGTGCGCATATTAATTATATAATATGCACTTCAAGATATCTTCTATGATGAATGATATTTTGTTTAGGTGGTAAGGATATAAACTCCTATATTTTAAGGTCAGTAAGTGAAGCGCAAAGCAAGTAAGAGATGCCTACAAATAAATCTTACTAAAATCAATAGATACGAAAAAAAATACAATTCTGTATAAAAAAAAACAAAAAAAAACAACGGTCCCAAAATTAAAGAATTAGTTTCTGGAACCTGATTGGATATGACTAGTCATGCCATGTGCTCTCTTCAACGTCCGCGCGGTTGAACTCCAAATAACTTGGAAATAGATCAGAGCTTAAGTCACGGAGCACGTTCCCGCCAAAAAATCAGATCGATTTCGCGAGCCGGTCTCCGACTCACCATAAGCGACAAAACAGCTTGTCAGCGACAGTCAGGGGCCATATTTGAAACAGAACAGTTAGAGACAGAGTTGAACCAGGATAATCAGCGGAGAGATCTGCGAAACAGAACAGTGACAACCCCATGACAGCACGTCAGTCAGCAACAATCTTTCTACCTACAACGCCACGACGAAAGTTTCAGCTTCTCTTTGTTCACTGTGTTTTATTAGCGTGAGCTTCACACACACACACACGCGCGCGTTAGCAACATATTTCGAAAATTGCAGACTCACTTGCAACAAAATAACTTCGAACTTTGCAGACTGACTTACAGCAAAATCACATTGAGCTATTGGTCTCTTCATGGCTACAACAAATAACATTCGTTTTCAACATGTAAATATTTGTGTCTGATTGTATAAATGTTCTTGTCATATTAAGCTTGGTTTTCTTCCTTTTCTGCGAAGATCATTTCTTCGCGTCGTTTATAGTATTGTAATTTGTGGACATGACACTCGGATTTTATTTTTCTACCTAAAATGTAGGTACACTGACACCCACAGTCGGCTGTTTATTTTGTAGAATAATAGTTTCGATACTTTTGAGTAATCCCTTTCATTGGGTGCTGTAGAGTATTTTGGTGTTATCTACTAATATTTGTCTTATATTGATAGTTGTACTTTGAATGTTCATGATGTGCTGGTCGATGTGTGCATGGATTGCACTGGGTTTCGACAGGTGACAGGTCAATCTGCGAGAGAGTGTAGTGCGTGTGTGCCCAATGTATGTATTTCATGTTGTTTTTTGATTATTAATGTTAGAGCTGCAATCTCCCAACGGCATTAGAATTCATAGACATCATTATGTTTACATAGGGGGGTTAGTAGATGGTAAACCTTAGGTGATTATCATGATAATTAGGTCAATTATGTTCATAATTGCTTTCTTATGCTGCTTATAATCAGGGTGCATTTGGTTATCGACTTTGTTAGACGAGTATGGTCACAGCTGAAAAATTACATCTATGGGTATGGTTTTGAATTCAGAGTTTTCCTTCTCCCAGACTGGTTGCCAACTACGGCTACAGAACTTATATTGTTATTGAACCCGTAGTTGTGGAGAAGAGATGGATTCATACATTACCCAAGGGTACTTGCGTGTAAGTGAATGTAACAGACTTAACTGAAATTTGAACTCGGCTCTCCGATTTCTCATTACGAGCCACTATTTATTACACTGCCCGTTTACAAAACTTTTGTAGTAAATGTGTTTCAAATTGGTTGGTTGATTTTGTTTAGCAGTATATCGACCACTATGGGTTATTTAATAGCGAAATCTAAATATTTTGTACGCAATTATATTTTTTCTTTGGAGATACTAATTTTTTTAGTGATACAAGTTTTACTAATTAACCCATAGCTGGGTGGAGAAGAGGTGGATTCATACCTTTCTCAAGGGCTATTTATGCGTAAGTGAATGTAATAACCCCGACCGGAATTGGAATTCGGGTCTATGATTAACAATTCTGAGCCATTATCCATTACACCACCCGCACATCGAAGATTACAGCACCTGGTATTCCCAAGCGGTCACCCATCTAGCTAATGGTCATGCTCGACGTTGCTTAACTTCGGTGATCATACGGGAACCGGTGTTTCAACGTGATGTCGCCGTAACAAACGCACGTAGGATTTATTATTTATTCCGCTAGTTTCTATTGTTGATTTTGAATTTACCCTTGTGGATGAAACTACATGTGTGTAAAATATTCTTTCTTTTTTTGTTTTCTTTTAAGTTTTTTTTGCGAAATGTTCACGCAATACAAAGCCCAATCGCCACTCAAAGTTATTGTATGGACGAAGAAAAACAGAAAGTGCGTATTATGAGAATATGTAGAATAGAAAACGGTGGACCCTAAACTTGAAGAGGTTATGATTGTAATGATCAGGGAAACATCTTCTCAAGAATCTCTTCCGTAAAGTAGCAGTTATAGATATATAAGCTCACCGTATGAAAATTCGTCTTTACCAAGAGCAGGCGAAGTGGAAGTAGCTGGTTCGTCCCAGTGTACGTGGAATGTTGGGTCCTAGCTATAAAGGTCTAAATTGGTAAAACTAAGGAGGCACGGTGAAGTAATGGATAGCGGCTCGGATTGAGGAGAGCCGAGTTCGAATTCCAGTCGAATTCATTACATTCACTTACGTGAAAGGAATGAATCCTCTTCTTCTTTTCTTCCCCAGGTATTGGTTAATTAGCAGGACAGATCGGGTTCTATATACCTTGGATGGCAACTGGTCTACCACAGAAAGAAATGGCAACATACTGCGGGAAAAAATATCTGCCTCGTCAGTCATGTATTGAAAGATACATGATCGCCTAAGCGTGTATCACGCATGGCACATAACTGACTGAAGGAATGTAGCTTGTCTGAACATTTGCCATAGAAATAGCAATAGGCTTTCGAAGTTTCGGTTGTGAGAAAGGGGTTGTAGAGTTGGAAATAATTCATCGATCACAAGGCTGTATAAGCGCTTTTGAACTCTGTTGTGACTGGAAAGTAAGGATCTTAACAGCTCCAGAGTACAGCTGTCTACTTATGACAGCAATATTCCATTTTTGGTCTGATCTGACTCTTGTAAGGATAAAGCCAAGCAGATAGAATCAGGTATTTTCCAGTGCGTTACAAAGAACCGACCACTTTTTCAGTATTTGTAACGATGGGTCATGTATATGAATTCAACTTGAGATCTCCGTGTACTTGAGCACTAATAGACGTCCAAGACAAGGAGCCTTATTGAGAGTACATCTAATTATCGTGATCAGAGAAAATTCGGGATTTGCTCGATGGTGAAATTTACTAACTTGGTTTTGGAGCTATCGAATGTTACAAGTCAGTTTCATTTCACATCACTAGTAATAGTAATGGCAGTATTAGCCGTTTCCCTCCAAGGAAACATTTAGCATTCATTGACCGAACAGCCAGTACTGCTTTCGGTTGAAATCTATAAGATTTTTTCTTATACAATATTTTTTTCAGAAGAATAGGTTTCTCAAGTTCCGTATCTGTTATCGTTCTTTCCAGTATTGATGGAAGTTTCCTCACTGACCTTTTATCTGAAGGAATAAATCTTGATTATATCAATTATTTTCACTTCAAGTTACATGTGATTACCCATTTTAGTTGTTGCCGCCCTTGATAGTCCTTAAGTGATGTGGTTTCTGTTATTTGATGCATTTCTTTGTGATTAAGCACCAGTTCACAATATTCAAAGACGGATAACCTTTGCCAGAACCCTCAAGATTTACTCGCTCAAAGTCTTTTTTCACCGTTGATCTTAGAAAACGGTTGTATACTAGGCCAGGTCGATTTTTGATTGCACTCAGTTTGAAAGTTGGAGTATGATATGATAAATAATGGCACAAAATATATTTTTCAAAATCCTTACCATTTTTTGAGGAAACGAGTTTTAAGATTAAGTTTAGGTTCAAAATTGAAGCGTTGGAATTTCATTCCGGTGATCAGTGAAAGATTTGACTGTCAAAAACTTCCATACCCTTAGACAAAACAAATTTGTAAATGTCATTTAATAGAATGTTTTTCAGTTGCAGCATTTACTTTGTTCACAATAAAGAAATAAAACAAAGCAGAATTATGAATAAAATAAAAATAATCACTTTAAAGGCAAAATAGAGATTAAATACAAGTAAGCAGTGGTCAGCGATGAAAATTGATTCTATTTTTTATTATATGGAATTTATTTTTTTGTTATTTTTCACTGGAAAAAAAATACACTGATTCTAAAAAAAAAAAAAAAAAAACATATCATAAAACCTCATGAAAAAAAGAAATTTCGTCATTTTTAATCAACAATAATAGTAAAATAAATATATTTCGTTTATGAATCTTGTACTGGAACTTTCTTTCGACGGCTATTATCTAAGTTCTCACCGTTATAAACATTCGCTGTTATTTTTATTACATTTGATATGGAAATTTCAACCACTGCCCGTTTGTCACTATAAAATTAATTAGTTCTTTTGTATTTTCACAAAACAGATTTAATTATTTGAAAAAGAAAGTAAACATTTTGTTTAATCTGCATAATTTTGTATTTTCGAAGTGAAGTGACTGGCGTTTATTTAAAACGTTGTGTTTGTTTATTTCCCTAGAATAAACTTAAACCCATTTAGGTGAGTAAGAATGTTTCTTTTTACTTTTCTTATTTCAAATTTACTTTGAAATTTTATTGAAATAGGGTAATGTTTGTTCTTTTCCTCCTCACTAGAAGTTAATGTTATTTCTGGGCTTCTTTTTTTATTCTTTGTTTAATTTGTGCATCAGCACATGAACTAGCTCAAATTAAAATTTAAATTAATTGAAAAATATAAATTTACTTCGGGTAATCTTCTATTCTTTGATAAATAATATTTTATTTTTCTTCAAATTTATCATGTATTTAAACTTATTTTTTTGAAATTTCAGATTCCCAATGAAAGAAGAGAATGCTTAAAATAGAGAAAATAGGAACAAAAGTTAGTTTCCAACATGGAACTATTGACAAAGATACTGTTGAAACATTTACAAAAATATGCAACTAAAGCAGAGATATTAGACAGGCAAATTGACTTTCACCAGAGATGGCCACGGAAAGTAGATATCGTGTGACATTGAGGCTGTGAGGTGGTTAAACATTAATTCTAAGCAGAAGAAGGGTTAAGCACAATATGAAATATAAACTGGGAGATAGAAAGAGAGAATGGAGGGTGTTTTCCATAATAATATAGGAAGTGAAGAAACGGTCATCTGGGTTGCCTCTCCTCTACGAATTGGAATGGTGCACCAAGAATTTACCTTTTCTTATCTCTGGAAAATTTGGCATGCGGGTAAAGCAAATTGGGAAATGGATTTATCTCTTTCTTGGAAAATTAGAAAAACACACGTCATTGGCGAAAGGAGAAGCAGACGGGAATTATATTTTTGTTATCGAAAACGAATTGGGAAATGAAAACAGAGAATGAACCCGCTGCGAGGGTTATGATTATGAAAATCGATCAGTCATAAAAGGCAGGTGATCTGGTTTATGTTTTCGCTAAGACAACGACCAGCCCAAAGTATGAAAAACAACGTGTCTCTTTGTTGAGAATTTAGGCAAACAAATATGTTTTTATTGACGAAAACAAATCGGGAAATAATTTTTATCTATCGCTCAGAAGGTTAAAATAAGAAGGTGATCAGGTTTGTGTTTTCGCTGGACAAGTGGATCCAGGAAAGGACTCAGAGAATTCAAATTAATGAGGAGAATAAACCTCGCCCTTTCTCCTGCGTACTTTAAAAATTAGATTTATCACAAAGACAATGTTATGCCAGCCTTGAGAAGTAGTCAGAGTTGGACCACTGAGAAGGAAGGGGTAGAATTTGGTGGAGTAGAAATGCGAGATGTGAAGTGAAGCAGGTTGGGTTAAGGGAGGAGCAATTTCTGTGTCTACTCCCATAGAAGGTAGATCATTCTCCAAATTTGGAAAGTTGATTAAGAAAGCAGAAATTGGGAACAAAGAAAACCTTTATTGGAATTAATGAAAACTGGGGAATCACCGAATCCCCAGAACCCTTCGGTCCCACACCAATTTTGTGCCGAAGTGCATATAAGCAGATAAATTGAGGACATCAGAGACTTTCTTCTGAGAACCTGCATTAAATGCTTCTGAAATCCACGTCAGCTACCACCAGATTTTCTAATTCCAAGACTTTGAACCCAGCTCCAGCAGAAGATTAGACAACGTCCAATGTCACTATAGAGATTGATGAGTGAATGGTTAATTTTTGTTGTACCAAGAGCTATATAAACCAACTAAAGATTAACCCTCCGTCGCTACCTTCCGTATGAGATTTTGTAAAGTGTTTATCGATTAGAGGTACCTATCCACCAGAAATGATAAATTGTACAGCCTTATAAAATTTATAATTGAAATATATGCAGTTAGTTTGTTTGAAATTAAAAGGTATAATAAATTCCATAGCCAACAACTGTATATCTTCAATGTGAACTAGAAAATAAATCAACAGTCGATTGAAATACAGAATGTTGCATTAAAAAATTTAAAGCACAAAAATATTTTTTGTTTGTTTCAGAAGTAGCGAACCACCAGGGAATAGATTTAAAAAATTACATTCAACTCTGAAGCGGCACTCAGGTTAAATTAGATTAACCTCCCATAAAATGGAGGTTGCGAACCTGCTCTTGTATGTTTTTCAAATAATGAACTACAAGAGGTTATAATGAATGAACAACATTGGAGTTGCCAAGTTTACCTGTACATTTGCAATGCGTGGAAAGAGCGGTTACATTAACTACTGAAGCTTCACAAATTGTATACGGACAATAAGTAAATTGTATATGGACTATAAGTAAATTGTATACGGACAATAAGTAAATTGTATAAGGACTATAAGTAAATTGTATACGGACTATAAGTAAATTGTATATGGACAATAAGTAAATTGTATACGGACAATAAATAAATTGTATACGGACTATAAGTAAATTGTATATGGACAATAAGTAAATTGTATATGGACAATAAGTAAATTCTATACGGACAATAAGTAAATTGTATACGGACTATAAGTAAATTGTATACGGACAATAAGTAAAGCGGAAACACATTATTGACTAA